AAAGATATAAGGATAGGAAAAGAAAAAACAAAATTGTCATTATTTGCAGAAAATACTACTGCACATATAGAATCGATAAACTGACTGGTTTAAGATAGTGAGTTATCTCAATTGATTGTTCACAGCCAGTTACAGATCAAACTACTTTTTGTTTTTGTTTTTGTTCTTCAAGATGGAGTCTCGCTCTTGTTGCCCAGGCTGGAGTGCCGTGGTGCTATCGACTCACCACAATCTCGCCCTCCCAGTTCCAAGCAATTCTCCTGCCTTAGCCTCCTGAGTAGCTGCGATTACAGGCACGTGACACCATACCCAGCCAATTTTTGTATTTTTAGTAGAGACAGGGTTTCTCCATGTTGGTCAGGTTGGTCTCAAACTCTTGACCTCAGGTGATCCACCTGCCTTGGCCTCCCAAAGTGCTGGAATTACAAGCATGAGCCACCATGCCTGGCTGAGATCAAACTTCATGTTCCACTCTTTGTTTCTCACTACTGTGTGGGACTAGTCCTTTTAAAAAAAGAATCTACACACATTATTATAATAATTGGATAAATATTAAAAGTCAGTCACATTTTTTCACATAAATATTTAGGAAGCATAATTTTTTAAATATACATTATTCTAGCAACAAAAAATAAAGATAATTAGAAATTAAAGATGTGTGTAAAACTGTATGGATAATATTATAAAACTTTATTGAATACTTTTTCTTTTTTGAGATAGAGTCTCGCTCTGTCGCCAAGGCTGGAGTGCAATGCTATGATCTCGGCTCACTGCAACCTCTGCCTCCCCCGTTCAAGTGATTCTCATACCTCAGCCTCCCAAGTAGCTGGAATTCCAGGCGCCTGCTACCACCCCCTGGCTAATTTTGCATTTTTAGTAAAGACAGTGTTTTACCATGTTGGCCAGGCTGGTCTTGAACTCCTGACCTCAGGATCCACTCGCCTTGGCCTCTCAGAGTGCTGGGATTACAGGTGTGAGCCACTGCACCCAGCCAACTTTACTGAATACTTTTTAAAAAATACTTAAATAAATGGAGAGTTATAACATGCTCTCAAATGGGGAGAGTTACTATCATAAAGATTAAGTGCAGCTGGGCACAGTTCCCAGCACTTTAAGAGGTCGAGGCAGGCAGATTGCTTGAACTCAGGAATTCAAGATCAGCGTGGGCAGTATGGTGAAGGCTCATCTCTACAAAAAATACAAAACTTGGTAGGGTGTGGTGGCATGTGCCTGTAGTCCCAGCTACTAATTAAAATCCCAACAGAATTTTTTGAAAAATTCAACAAACTGTTTTTAAAATTTATAGAGAAGGGCAAAAGTTCAAGAAATAGCTAAAACACACCTGAAGAAGATGAGTTGTCCAAGCTCCTGACAGATTAAATATGGAAAGTAAAACTATTTTGCATTTATAAGGAAATAGAGAACATTATCTCCATCCAAGAGTATGGATGGATTTCTTAAATAATTCACAAAAAGCACTGATCACAAAAGAAGAAGTAATTAAAGTATATTAAAATTAAGTTCTGTTCATCAAGACACTATAAAGAAAAGTAAAAGCCAGGTGGAATGGCTCACACCTATAATCCAAGTACTTTGGGAGTCTAGGGTAGGAGGATCACTTGAGCTCAGGAATTCAATACTACCCTGGGCAACACAGGGAGACATCGTCTCTACAAACAAATTTTTTTAAAAAATTAGCTGGGTGTGATGGTGTGCACCTGTAGTCCCAGCTACTCAGTAGTCTGTGGCAGGAGGATAGCTTTAGCCCAGGAGATCAAGGCTGCAGTGAACTGCAATTGTGCCACTGCACTCCAGCCTGGGCAACAGAGTGAGACCCTGTTTCAAAAAAAAAAAAAAAAAAAAAAAAAAAAAAAAAAAAAAAAAAAAAAAAGAAAAGAAAAGAAATGTAAAGACAGAAGCCACAAACAGAAAAGATATTTGCAACATGTACAGGTGCCAATAGTAAAGGACTAATATACAGAATATATGAAGAATTATAATTATCTTGGTTAAAACTGAACACGTTTTGACTCCCTCCTAAAACCTAAAACTACAGTAAATGAATATTTAAGAGATAAACTCATAAGGATGGTGAGAAGGAAGAGGCAATGGCAACACAATTTTGGAAGCTGGAAAAGATGATAAATAAGTAGCAATTGACTTAGCAGATCTGAGAAAACTGAATCTAAAGCCAGCAATCGGAAAGCCAAGCCATAATTCAACATAAAACTGCAGAATTTCTGAAAGGCTCAGGAACTGATAATCCTAGGCTTCTCTGGAACTGAGGATGGGACAGGACCAAGGCAAAATATAAAGATTATTTGAAAGCTGTTTAAAAGGCAGTTAGGCCAGGCCAGGTGGCTTACACCTGTAATCCCAACACTTTAGGAGGCCAAAACGGGTGGATCACCTGAGGTCAGTAGTTCGAGACCAACCTGGCCAACATGACGAAACCCCATCTCTACTAAAAATACAAAAAAAAATTAGCTGGACATGGTGGAGGGCACCTGTAATCCCAGCCACTTGAGAGGCTGAGGCAGGAGAATCCCTTGAACCCCAGGAGGCGGAAGTTGTAGTGAGCCAAGATTGCACCATTGCACTCCAGCCTGGGTGACAAGAGCAAAACTCCATCTCAAAAAAAAAAAAAAAAAAAAAAAAAGAAGTTAAACCCACTAGTCACCCCTTCTATTTCATGCCACAGGGTAACTGCCCACCTCTGCCTCTGCAAAAGTCAGAAGGCTAATTTTTGGCGAGGACCTCCAGACTAGGGATACCAATTGAGGACAGGGTATCATTTTGAAACCAAGCAAACCTCCATATACTGAACACTAAAATCCCCAGTGCAATCGTCAGCACTGGATTCTCAGAACACTGGCAGCTAAGTCATTACCCTCAGGCCAAAGGTTGAAGGAGTCTTTTCTAAAGAATCTCATCAGCCAAGAGGAAAGGCCTACACATATTGACATTAGAGTTTGCAAAACATTGTCCAAAGACATGTTTGGACAATGATGCTGATGGTGTGCAAAGCCCACACACAGCTCAGAGCCTTCTACAAGTTTTTATAATCTCCTACTTATCAATAGGAGCAGAGATGGCACACACCTTAGGAAAACATCTCACAGAAAAACTGATGATATCTATGAATTATTCTAAATGACTGTTTTGTGTTTGTGTGTCTGAGTGTTTAGTGTGTAAGTGGATATATGAATATACATCTATACGTGCATCTATGAGTGTATCTGGGTGCACAGGGGTGTGTGTGTGGTTGTGTGTGTATAAAGCTCAGAGAAATGCTGAGTGATGGGACCTATCCACCCATCTCCCATATTCTGCCCTCCATCCACATAGAAGTGTGACTGTGCAGGCTCTGCCCACAGAACAATGTCAGCTGGACACAGCTGATCCCAGAAGCCCCCGAGAGAGAGGTTTTCAGGATGATTGGAGCACTGGGAGCAACCAGGTCTCAGCCTTGGCCAAGAGAAGATCCAGGTGTGACGGCTCATGACTATAACCCTAGCACTTTGGGAAGCCAACATGGTAGGATCACTTGAGTCCAGGAGTTCAAGATCAGACTAGGCAATATGGTGAAACTCCATCACTACAAAAAATACAAAAATTAGCCAGGTGTGGTGCACATGCCTGGGGGGCTGAGGCGGGAGGATCACTTGAGCCTGGGAGGTTAGGACTGCACCCATGGTGGCACCACTGTACTCCAGCCTGGATGGCAGAGTGAGACATTGTCTCAAAAAAAAAAAAAAAAAATCATAAGGAGCAAGTGTGGGTGATAGCATCACTGTCCCAGCACCTCATTGCCTGTTATGAGGAAGAAGCCCTATCTGACTTTGCTGAGTGTCCCACCCCTGTGACCCAGCTGCCTTTTCAGACCAGCTGCCTGCAGATACCTGTGGGTCCACAACTACCTTGGCATTCAGCCCTCAGCTGAGGAGAAAGGGGCCTGGAAAGGAGGCCCTGATCCAGGCTTCACAGATCTAATCAGACGAGAAGTGATAGGATAAGTTGAGGTGAACTCCAAAAAGTAGAGGGGCCCAGGGCCTGGACCAAGAACAGAAAAAGTGTCAAGGTAGGATGAGGACCAGGCCAAATCGAGGGTCAGAGCCACAGCAGAATCAGGGTGAGGTTGGAGTAAGGGAATTATATATTTTTTTCTGAGACAGAATCTCGCTCTAGCACCAGGCTAGAGTGCTATGGCGCAATCTTGGCTCACTGAAGCCTCTGCCACCTCCCGGGTTCAAGCGATTCCCTTGCCTCAGCCTCCCGAGTAGCTGGGACTACAAGCACGTGCCACCACACCCAGCTAATTTTTGTATTTTTAGTAAAGACAGGGTTTCACCATGTTGGCCAGGATGATCTCCATCTCTTGACCTCGTGATCTGCCTGCCTCGGCCTCCCAAAGTGCTGGGATTATAGGCATGAGCCACCGAGCCCAACCAGGAATTACATTTTAAAATAGGTGCCCCTCCAGCACTGTCCTTCATTTTCTTCAAGATGCTAGATTCCCAGAGAGCCTTCCCTGTCCAAGACACTTACATAAGGCAGCCAGCTCCAGGGTAGCCCCCTTTTCTGAGACTCCAGATTGTGCCAGGGCCTGTTGCACTGTTGGTGGAAACCTGGCCCTGCTACCAGGCAGCACACAGTCTAGGAGAAAAAGGAAAGGAACATGTAGCTCTGAGCTTTATGAGCTACCAGACAGGAAATGGCAGAAATGAGAAAGTCAGAAAACTACTCTGACTTAAGGCCACCACTTGGCTCCAAGCCCCAGCCTTGGATGAAAAGAAAGGAGAAAAGGGTAACTTAGACAAGAGAACTGTGCAGAGGAGCCAAGGCTGGCATGGGAATCCCTCTGACATGGGGAGGGAGGTTGGGAGACCCACCTGGGCTGACCTTCTCAAGAGAGGCTGGTTCTAGATCCAACAACACCCCAGGGCTGGGGTCTCTGTGCCCCTGACCCCTTCTCCCCTCTCCCCTCCCCCCTGGCACAGGGTCTGACTCATACCATGGAGCGCCATGTGGATCCCGAAGCCCTGCAGAAGATGGCCAAATGTGCCCTACAGGACTACACCTATAGGGGGTCCATATCAGGCCACCCCTATTTGCCTGAGAAGTACTGGCTTTCTCAAGAGGAAGGTAAGGTCTTGCCCTTTGCTGACCCCTAAAATGACCCCCAACCTGAACCTGACCACCTGGATCCTGAACTCCATCCTCTTTTTTTTTGAGACAGAGTTTCGCTCTTGTTGCACAGTGTGAAGTGCAATGGCGCGATCTTGGCCTCCACCTCCTGGGTTCAAGTGATTTTCCTGCCTCAGCCTCCTGAGTAGCTGAGATTATAGGCTCACCACACCTGGCTAATTTTTGTATTTTCAATAGAGACAGGGTTTCACAATGTTAGCCAGACTGGTCTCAAACTTCTGACCTCAGGTGATCTGCCCGCTTCAGCCTCCCAAAGTGCTGGGATTACAGACCTAAGCCACCAGTCCTCGCCTCCATCCTGATTCTATATCAACTTTATCTCCACCCATGACATAGATTTCTTCCCTAACCACCCCCGACTCCCAACTACCTGACCTGACCCTGGTCCTGGAGGAGATGACCTATGCCTTGCCTTTTGGGGTTCTTGTCTGTGGAAAAAAAAAAGAGCTGGAAGGGCCCTGGGTCTCATTCTTAGAGAGTTGGAGAAAGGATTGACCTCCCACAAACAGATCCCTCCAAGTGCATTCCGGATGCCATCTCCTCCCATCTTCCCAGCCACCCTGCTCCCATCAGCTCCCTTCATCTCTCCTGCATCCCTCTGCCCCACCACAACTCTTTCCCTCAACCTGGAACCTTCTCTAGTTTCTTCCCAAGTAAAAATTCTCTCTTGCTCCTCTCCTCAACAGCCAAGGTTCTCTGAAACATGATCTGTACTCACTGTCTCTATTTCCGCACCCCTTCTTACCCCTTATGAGAAACTGTCTTCTCATTTGCTTGGGCATCTATGATCTGTACAGTATGTTTGAAAAGAGCCAAGTCTGGTCTTTTTCACAGCTGTGCCCCTCCATCGAGCACAGCACCTGGTTTCGTAAGTCTTTGTTGAATGATTGAGAATTCCCAATGGAAGTTGGGGGTGTGCATCTCCTACAATGAAACAGTAAATTGCTCTTGAGTGGCTTTGATTAGCAAATCCACAGGACTGCAGTCTTTACCTTTCAAGATCTTTACCCTCCTAGACCAATGACTTGCACTCTTCTGATCACTCTCTACTTTCTTTCTTTTTTTTTTTTTTTTTGTATGTTAATCCTCCAGCACGCACAGTATGACCACTCTCTACTTCTAGAAACAACTTTCTCCTCACCTGCTCTGATGCCTACCTTTCCTGTGCATCCACTGTGGAAACATGGGGTTCCTCAGGGTATTATCCTGCACCCTCCCCTTGCACCTCCTCCAAGGCCATTTGAGTTAGCACAAGGCTTTAATTACTGACAGCTTTAAGTCCTAATTTCCAGATTTGTCCTCTCACCCAAATTCCACTCTCCTTCATATGCTTATAGGCATCTTGACCTGGATGTCCCCAAATACCTCAGTCTCAGTATGTCCAAACTACCATCCCTGAACTCCAAATCCCAGCACTCCACCCCTCCCCTCACACAGCTCCTCTTCCGCTAGGGCTTCTTCCACACTGTCTCACACATGTGTTCTTTCAGATTGTTGGATCATGGAGGGCCTTGTAGGACAGGCTTAGGTGACTGGGGGCTGAGGGGGGCAAACTCTACAGGGTTTTAAGTAGGAGAGTGCCTTTGCTAAATTTTCATTTGTGAAAAGTACCACAGCTACTATGTCAAGGTTGCATTATAGAATTTCAAAGATGAGGCAAGGAGAACAGTAGAATAATCCTAACAGCTTTTTATGTGCCAAGCCTCATTCTAAATGTCTTACATATACTAACTGATTTAAATCTCACAGCAACCCTGTGAAGTAAGTAGTACTATTATCCCCATTTTAAAGTTGGAGAAACTGAGACACAGCAAAATTAACTCAGTCAAGGTCACACAGATAATAATTGGCAAAACTGAAATTTGAACACAAGCAGTCTATCTGCAGAGACAGGTATCTATTAACCAAGACATTATATGTCTCCTGGTTAAGACGCTGCGAAGGTAAGGAAGTGAGATCATGAGGTACTGGAAGAGGGAGTAGATTCAAGTGATCTATTTATTTATTTAGACTGAGTCTTGATCTGTCACCCAGGCTGGAGTGCAGTGGCATGACCTCGGCTCACTGAAACCTCCGCCTCCTTGGTTCGAGCGATTCTCGTGCCTCAGTCCCCTGAGTAGCTGGGTTTACAGGTGCATGCCACCATGCCCAACTAATTTTTGTATTTTTAGTAGGGACAGGATTTTGCCATGTTGGCCAGGCTGGTCTTCAACTCCTGAACTCAAGTGATCCGCCTGCCCCAGCCTCCCAAAATGCTGAGATTATAGGCATGAGCCACCGCACCTGGCCAGATTCAAGTGATTTTGAAGGAGGTAGAATAGGCAAACCTTGGAGCCTAGAGTAGAAGATGAGAGAGAGGGAGGAATTGGGAAGAGGCCCCTTGTCCAGGTAGGCTGATTCAAAAAGGGTAGTGGCAGGATGAAAAGTGGCACAGTGGATTCAGACTAAACTCAGAAGGCTGCCTTACGTGGGACATGGGCTGCATCTCAGTTTAAGACACATGTAGGCCCACTGGGCTTAGGGCCTGGCCTGAGGACAGTCTGTGAGGCTCAGCTTTGTACTGGGGATCAGAAGAGAAACATGTGGGGGATCTCAGATCCTGGAGTAAGAAGTAACACTATTTGACATCTCCACCCCTAAAATCCAGCAGACAAATGCACAACAAACTACCTGAGCAGTGACCGGTACAACACATGGAGGACGGAACCTTACAACAGCAGCTGCTGCAACAAATATACCGCCTACCTTCCTCGGCTGCCTAAGGTATCTATTGCACCCAGCACAGATGCCTGGGGACTGGGACAGGCATATCCCACCACTTCCCAAACCACAGTGACTGATATTTCACCATTAGGTCCTCATTGCTTTCCCAACAATACTGCCCCAGGGCTCTTCCCCATCTGTGAAACTAGAGTTTGTATATATATTTTAGATGGAGTCTCATTCTATCACACAGGCTGGAGCACAATGGCACAGTCTCAGCTGACTGCAACCTCTCCCTCCCAGGTTCAAGCAATTCTGCTACCTCAGCCTCCTTAGTAGCTGGGATTACAGGTGTGTGCCACCTGTAATTTTTGTGTTTTCAGTAGAGATGGGGATCTTGCCATGTTGGCCAGGCTGGTCTTGGACTCCTGGCCTCAAGTGATCTGTCTGCCTCAGTCTCCTAAAGTGCTGGGATTACCGGCATCAGCCACCGTGCCTGGCCAGGTTTGTATTTCTTTTTAGTTGAAAAAGGAACCCAAGAGTGGGGCTGTGCTGGGCCCCTGGCTCTTCAGTCTCTGGGAATTGGGTGCCCTCTGCCCCAATCCCTGGCTGGGCTTTACAGGGACATGGCTGGTGTGCACTTCTTGATATGCTACCTTTCTGAAGCTTGCCAGCTGGCCCCTCCCCATACAGTCTGGTCCCTGTGATACTGGGGCTAGCCAAGGAGTCAGTGATACACTCAATCTCCCTGCTCCACCTTCCCCTCCTTTGGGATGTGAGCACAGATGGAAAGAGGAAGACCAAGGTTACTCAGTAGCAGTGCAGATACAGGAGTCTTCCAAGGACACATGAGAAGGTCCAGCCACGGCCCCAGGCTCAAGGGTACCAAGAGAGGACCCAAGACCAGGGCTGGGGCTCTTAACTGCAGGCTGATGGCTGACCTTGGGTTGACAGAACCCTTTTGAATTAGAACTTCCTCAAGAATTAGAATCTTTCAGAAGTTCTGCATGGAATGGGCAAGCAATATTGAAAACCCCCTATTCGAGAGACACCCCGACACAGCTAAACAGTCAGCTAGACAAAGAGGGGTAAAATCAAAGGCAAACTCTGAAACAGGGTGTCACAGGCCCCAGGGCCAAACCCCATCCACCTTCAGCCTTCCCCATTCCACCCGCTCCTGGAGGCGGCGTAAACGCGTTGCCAGACGACAGCGGCAAACACTCAGAGCCCTGGAGAGAGGTGGGGAGCTGCTGAGGGGCGGGGGACGGCGCGGCCTGGCCATAGGTCTGGGTGTTCTGGGAGGATCCCAAAAAGGGAGCAGCTCTGCTAGGTCAGAGCTTGAGGTAGCATGTGTGCCACTTCTAGGAGGCCGGGATGGAGACAGCAGTTCGAGGAATGCCCTTGGAATGCCCTTCTAAGCCGGAGCGGCTCAATGCCTATGGTAAAGAGTGGTAGTGGGGCGGTGGAAAGAACAGGTGGAGAGGGTAGGGGAAGGCCGGGAGGAGGGCGCGATGGGGACCTGAGGACGCAGAGGCCGAGGGTCCTGGAGAGGGCGGAACCCTGAATTTATCCGTTCGGCTTTTGTCTCCGCCTCGCTCTGTGACGCGGCCTCTTCCCATCCCTGTGCATCTGTCTTTGGGTCTCCTGCACCTGGGACCCGCGGGCGCAGAGCGCGAAGTGGTGGTGAACATGCTGAACTCACTATCGCGGAACCAGCAGCTGCCGCGGACCGCGACCCGATGCGGGTGCGTGGACCCGCTGCCCGGCCGCCTGCCCTTCCAAGGTTACGAAAGTGCTTGCTCTGGCCGCCACTACTGTCTGCGCGGGATGGACTACTACGCCAGCGGGACGCCCTGCACTGACCGCCGCCTGCGGCCTTGGTGCCGGGAACAACCGACTGTAAGGTTCGCAGGGCTCGGCCCGCCTCAGCCGGGCTCCACCCCACACAAGCCCCGCCCCAGAGCCCCGCCCCACTTCCAGCCCGGCTTCCTTTGGGCGGGCCCCCAGCCTGCTCTACCCCCGCGCTGCAAGCTCTTGAGGCCCCGCCGTGTCCCGCCTTCGGGCTCCAAGGCCTGAGCTAACAACTGAGGCGGGAGAACCAGAATGGAGTTTACTCCAAGTCCCCGACCCCTGTCCCTCTCAAACTGGGCTCAAGGTCATCCTAGCCTCTGTATATGCTCTGGAGGTCCCGCCAGAGGGTTTTTGAGGAAGAAGCCCTGCACATCAGTCGCATCCTCTTCCCACGTCTCCTTGGCCCTGCCCCATTCCCTGGACACCTGGCCCTAGAGACACAGGTTCTAGCCTGTGGAGCGCCCTGCGTCCTCAGAAAAATGTCCTCTCTTGCTGGGCCCCCGTCACCGTCCGTAGTGGGTGGGGGTCATTGCTGGGGGCTACGCGAGTCAGGAAATGGTGACCACTTTACCAAAATGGCTCTGGCCTCCTCGGATCCCGCACCACCTACGGAGGTAGGCACCCTCGCGTGTTACAGCTAAGTAGACTGAGGCCCGAGCGCACAGCTGGAGCCCAGACTGCAGCGCAGCATTTGTCCTGCACCCGGCGGCAGCCAAGCCTTGGAGAACTTCGTCCGCGGTAGCCCAGAGAGCTGTGCAGAGGGCGTCCATAGTGATCCCCCGCTCCTTTCCAGGCCGATAGAGCCTGATTCATTGAGCGAGACTGAGTCTTATCCCTCTCAAGGGCATGGGGGTGCAGGAAAGTATCTGAGCCTTTAGAAAGCTCGGAAACGATGCCTCGTCCTAGTGCTGGAGAAACTGCTGTCCAGTGGCGGGGAAGGGCCCTGGTTCTCATCCTTAGAGAGTTGGAGGAAGGACTAACCTCCTACAAACAGATCCCTCCAAGTGCATTCCGGTTGCCATCTCCTCCCATCTTCCCAGCCACCCTGCTCCCATCAGCTTCCTCCATCTCTCTTGCATCCCTCTGCCCCACTCAACGACCAGAGTCCGACCCTCCCCAGCGTCCGGCGTTCTTCCCTGAACGGCAGAAATGAGGCCTTGCCGGGAGGAAGACTTCCAAGGGGGGCTTCCCGAGCCTGTGCTACAGTGGGGGTCTTGAAGAGTGGGGAAGGAGAGGAGGATTTGCGGCCTTGGGATGGACACCTGAAGCGCCAGGGGCTTGGTCTAAATTGGGGGATGCGAGTCAAAAGGCCCAACCCCTCCCTGCCCACGGTTTCCTCCTCCTCCAGATGTGTACCTCCCTACGAGCACCGGCCCGGAATGCAGTGTGCTGTTACAACTCCCCTGCCGTCATACTGCCCATATCCGAACCTTAGGTAAGTCTAGTGCGCACACACTCATTTGCACACAGATCTTGAGTCTTGGTGCGGCGGGGCGGGGGGAGGCGGGGGGAGGATGGCGGGTAAATGAAATGAGAACGCTCCGCTTCGGTGCACTGACAGGCAGATACCACCAGGGGGAGCTAGTGCCATGGAGCAGTCAAAGGTGTTAAGGCCAAAGGACCCTAGGAGAAGGCTAGGAAGCCAATATTGAAGGGTTACAGGTTGGCAGTGGGCTTACAGTCAAGGTCATTGGGCTCAGAGCTTGAAGTAACGAGTAAGAGGTCAATGTTAAGGAGGAAGTATTGGGTATCAGCCGTTTAACAGTAGAACCTAAGGTCAGGAGGTCAGTATTGAAACCCAAGGTCAGTGCTATAGGCAAAGTGTAGGGATTAGGTTAGCATTACGAACTGGAGTCAGATATTCACTTTGACAGATGAGGATCCAAAAGGGCTGACCCATCTCTCCCTGCAGGTGGGACACAAGTCACTTCAAGAAGACTGGTGGTCCCCAGAGAAACAACTATGTCATCCATCCTGAGTTTGTGTCTGAGACCTATCCTGACTATCGTTGCTGGTAGAGCCTGGGCTTGCTGGGCCATGGGGGCAGAGCAATAAATAAACTCTTCACCCCCAAAGCCTACCACTTGTGTCCTTACCCAGCAGGATCTGGAAGTGAAGGGCCAGTCACTTAGGCCTCTACCAAACCCCTTCAACAGAGATGCAATTTTTCTCAAAGTCACCCTTCCCTGAGCCTTTCCAACCCCATCATCTCAGTACGTCCCTGAGTGCCCTCCTGATACCGAACAGTTGCCCTATATCCAGCTGCTGTCCTCCTCCCCTGCATCCCAGAGCCCAAACAAATCGGTCCATGTTGCAATGCAGGCAGGAGTCATCTATTTCCCACCCCATGAAGACCCTCCAGCTAACATTTCTTCAGTATGCCCTCAAACTTAGATACCCTCCCACATATCAGAGGACTCAGAATCCTTCCTTCCATTCAAAGCCCTATCCCTACACCCAAAGCTCTTGATCTCTGCTTCCAGGAGTCCCCATCATAGCACTCCAAAAGCCTCTCTGTGCTCAGGCACCCTTGCTGCACAAGGGTGTGCCCCCACACCCCAAATCCAACTGGTCAAAACATAATTTTGGAGGGTCTCATGACCAAGAAATTTCAAGGTGCAAAACAAAGCCCTGTTTCTCTGCTCCTCAGGGAGCAAGAAGAGGGGCATTCTAGAGTCTCTGGGATCTTTGGTATTTTCCTTTCTGCATCAATAATATGAAACCGACTGGGTGTAGTGGCTCACACCTGTAATCCCAGCACTTCAAGAAGCCAAGGCAGGAGGATCACTTGAGCCAGGAATTCGAGACCAGCCTGGGGCAACATAAGGAGACCTCTTCTCTACAAAAAACTTAAAAATTAGCAGGGCAGCCGGGCGAAGTGGCTCACGCCTGTAATCCCAGCACTTTGGGAGGCTGAGGCGGGTGGATCACGAGGTCAAGAGATCGAGACCATCCTGGTCAACATGGTGAAA